AATCGTGATGCATTTCAGACTCAAATCGAATCTTTAGGCAGATAATCGGAATCGGATCGAATCGTGAGGCAGGTAGAGATGCACACCACTAACACACACACACACACATCCATAAATAGACATGGTCAGAGCTGACCTAATATATTTTATGAAAGCCCATCAGGACTCAACGTGACTAGCTCAGATGTTACACAAACTCACATAAACTCAGACACATTTAATTCCATGCGGTACACACACATGCATCTGCACACAGAGACACACACTTCTCATAAAATAACTAGCTCAGATCTGTGTTTACCTCCTACACAAAAATGTCCCTCCCCCACACACTCACGTGCAAAAACAAATCAAGTACAGTGCTGAGTAGGATTTCCAGAACTAGGTATTGAGCATTAAAACAAAGCCACTCGCGCAGAGAAAGTTTAAAAAGCCGTGGGGAAAAGGAGATAAAAGAGGGAAGGGTGAGAGGACTGCGCAGACAAAGACTCAAAACAGGGAAACTCCCTCCTCTTCTAAAGGCGGAGGACAAAAACCAAAGAGAGCACCAGCAGGATTCCATCACAGCCTGCAAAACCAAACCTCTCCTCAGCCATTAATTAATTTCCATCAAGGCTTCAGTCACTTTGCACCTACATCATTTTACAGTCGATGCGGAATGTAAAGAGGAAGACTATGGACAATTAGACGGATGTGAAAAGAAAGCATCTGCTTGAAAGATTGCTGAGAGAAAATCTGGTGGACAAAATAAAAAATAGGTCAGTAAGAGGTAAGAGTGCATTTGCTCTGGTGTTGCGTCTCTTCTGCATGTTTTTAGCTGCAAACCCGTTTTAAAAACAAAATAAGCTCATCCATTATTAAAGTCTTGCACATTTGAATTTAAATTATTTGCGAGAAAGAGTTTCTTTTTCACCCTGAATGCTTTGACTCATTCAGGTAACCATGGAAGCAGCAGGATCACCATGGAGGAATTTTGTCTTGTTTACACTGATGTTTCCAGTAATACTGGAGGTCCACAGGGTCCTGGGCTGTCGGCTTGGCACCGGACCAGAGTGTGAGAAGGCTCCTTTTGTTCCAGGCCACAACTTGGCTGGGGAGGGGTTTGATATAGTGCGACTGCGTCGAACTGGAGCGTATGTCATTAACGTCAAAGCTCATCTGGATGACAACCACACCTGCACGCTATGTCCAAACAGATTCCAGAATGGACAGGTGAAAACTGCATAACCTGCTGCTTGAATTTATCATTTCACTCCTCATGCAGTGCACTTTACACTCCAGTTCCAAACCCTTCATTTCCCATAATTCCATCCTGCTGCTCTGTACTTGTCTTAAATATTGCTGTTCTTCTCCACCCTCAGATTCAGAGGCTCCCCGCCGCAGTGCTTGACTGGCGCCCCTTCAGCCGCTGCAGTAAGCAGCTTTCCAGTGCGCTCCACCACTCTGTGGACTCCCTGCTGCGCAGCTCCAACTCACTGGTCAACAACAACTGGGGTTTGGGGTTGAGCCTCTCCATGATCGGCCAGGCAGTGCTTGGAGGAAGCCGCTCAGATTTGGCAAAGTTTGCTCGCTCACAGCACAGTGTGGACAAAGCTACATTTGCCATTCATGAAATTAGCTGCTCCTACTACAGGTAAATTGTTGGATGCATGGGGTCCTTCTGTGCAAAGAAGTATAAAATACAGGACAAAGATTGCACAACATTTTAAAGAAATTACCTTGAAAGGCAACAAAAAGATGTAGAAAGACAAAGAAACATTGCTGCAAGAACAAAGATTAGTTTTAGCTTGGCAAACCAGACTACCGTAATTTCTGGACTATAGAGGTCCGGACGTCACGTGACTCTCAGAGATTAGACGCCATGTTGGCAGGCAACAAAGGTAAACAAAATGAACGGGATCGGCTTGGATTTTACTTCGTCGGAGTTTACTTCACACTTTAAAACCGAAGGAATCGTTTTATAGTCAGAAACTAAATAGACTAAACATCTCCGACCCTTACCGTGCCCCTGGGATACTTTTTTAAAATGCCAGAAGCTGTCGGAGCGGACCCGGCCAGGGAACACCTTGGGATTCCCCTGGAGGAGTTGGCCCAAGTGGCTGGGGAAAGGGAAGTCTGGGCCTCTCGACTTAGGCTACTGCCACCGCAACCCGACTCCGGATAAGCGGATGAAAATAACATAGCTTTACATGTAAGTAGTTTAAATAGAGTGCTGTTTGAATGTATAAACTGAACCCCAAGAGAAATCACTAGTCTGATTGTTTTCCGTGAATAAAATAAATATGTCAGGCAGGAGCGTCTCAGGATCTGTCTGAGATCTGTCTCGGTGAGACAGATAATAGCAATCCAAAGTGCTTTTTATGTGTGATCTGACAATTGATCAACCATTGCTTAAAAATTAAATACAGCTTAGCCGGTTAATTGCTGTGATCATAAAACACGTAAACGGCAGCACGCAGAACTCACGAGGCTCACGTTTTACGTGACGTTTACTTGTTGCTATGAGTAATAAGACAGAAAAGGCCAAAATAAGTTTAGGAAGCCCACTAAGAATCGTAATAAAAGCATTTAAAATAAATACCATACACAGTTGAGGAAACGTTGGTTTAAGTACCTGATATGAAGCGGTCGCTGCATAAGTGAAAACCTTTACTCTCGGGGTCCCACAGCTTCATTTTAGCCCGGTCACTAGCGCGTTTTATTACAATGATCACACGTTTGCGGCTCTCCGGATCTTGGGGAATCCTGCAGATGGCTCATTCCTTATGTCGTCCGCGTGTGTTCTGCATCGTGGGGCACAACAGGAATCTACCATATTTCCCGTTTGATTGAGTTTTCTGACAATAACAAATAGTCCAGCTGCGGGCTTCTGCCTGCCAAGATGGCACCGTTTCGATTTGAACTGTTGCATGCCGGGAGAAGTGACGTCAACTCCCGGAGCTCAATATAAGCCGTACCGGGCTAAAGGCCACAGATGTCTTCTGAATTGAAAACGTAGTTTAACTGAACGTAACTGAACTGATCGGTATCAAACAAAACAGAAAAGTGATTGGTTTATTCATCGTCCTCCTGCGCACTGAAACCACTGAAGTCTTCTTCTTCAGTGTCGAAGTTGAACAGCCTCAGAAGAGCTTCGTCACACACCTTTTCTGTGGCGATGTCAGTGTCGCTCTCCGTGTTGCTGTCATCATCCCGGGGTGGAGCTGGGAAAACAAGCAGCGCCGTTTTACTGTGAAAAAAAAATCGTCCTGGGCGCTTTCCGTAGCTCTCCTTTAACCATTCCTTCATTAGACTTTCCAGCATCCATCCTTTCTGGTTGACCAAAGCCGCAACTCATTATAAGCCACATGGTTCAAAGCGTGGGAAAAAGTAGCGGCTTATAGTCCGGAAAATATGGTAAATAATTATATTATTTAAACTTTGCAAAGCAAGAATTTGGTCTAGATCACTCGGTCAAAGATTTAAAGGAAGAGAACAAAATCAACACTGAATGTGTTATCACAATAAGTCTACATGCTTGCAAACTTTGCAACATCTTTCCATTAAGGAAATAACCGTCTTTGTTGCAAATAAAATCCAGGCTATGCAACCATGGTGTTTGCTTTTGTAGCTACAGGCTGGCCGATCATCCCCAGCTGAGTGCAGAGTTCACCAAGCATCTGAAGAGACTCCCGCAGAGTTTAGACACAGTCCAGAACAAAGCCCTGTACAGACGGCTCATAGACACCTACGGGACACACTATATACATCAGGTCAGAGAAACTAGCTGGATACACACAAGTTTCTGTTGCAGCTTATAAGACCTGCTGCTGAAAACGTTTAAGATGCCGTAAATCTTTACTGAGCTACTTTTGTTTTTTAGGTCCAGCTTGGAGGTAAAGTGAGGCGAATCACCGCCTTCAGGACATGCTTGGCCACTCTGAAGGGGTTCTCAGAGTCTGAAATCAAAAACTGCCTGAATCTTGAACTCCGCATGGCTCTGGGTTTTCTCCCCGCCAATGCATCCTTCTCCAACAAGTGTGACAACCTCCTGAAGGGGAATCTTAGCATGGGGTTCTACCAGGGCTTCATGACACATAAGATTGAGGTCACTGGAGGGGAGAAGTATTTTCCTGACATCCTCTACCAGCAAGATCCATCCGAAGCATACCACAGCTGGATAAACAGCCTCCACGACAACCCAGACGTGGTTTCTTATGCCATCTTCCCGCTGCACCATCTGGTGGAGGACACAGAAATCAGTGCTAACCTGAGAAGCATGGTCACCGATTACATCAAAGAGAACCAGTTGGAAGAACAGCACGGTGTGAAGAATTGCTCCCCGACTCCCAACTTGGATCACAACTGCTGCCCTTTGAGAGCCAGCAGAGGAACTCTGAGGCTGGAAATGCACAGAGCAGCAGGGCTGAGGGCCGACACCTTCACAAAACAGACGCGTACGTTAAGATCTTCTATGGCGGCATTTACGAAGAGACTGAAACAGTGATGGACAACAATGACCCAGTATGGAACGCTACGTATGATTTTGGTTCAGTGGAGATGGGTCAGGACCTGAGGCTGGAAGTCTGGGACAGGGATGTGCTTTATAATGATGTAGCAGGGATATGTGTTGTTTATCCAGAGAAGGGGACCCATTCTTTAAGCTGTCAGCTACGTAAAGGAGTTCTTTATTTCACTTACACCGTAACATGTGATGCCCATCTGACAGGGTTCAGGTGTGGACGATATTCTCCAAATGCAGAGTAAACTGGATTGCCAAAATTGCCAATCAGTCTGTAGTGTCACTTTGGTCACAGTCAGACCTCTGGGGAAGAGGTCTGGGAAAAAAAGTCACCTCAGAACAGAAAACTCATATGTGACCCATGTGTGAAATCAAATTCTGGTCCTGTACCCGACTATACTGACCCTAATGTGTAAGCGCCATGTGGCAATGATGTGGATCGGTGCTCAGTCGGTACTGTGGAATTCGGTCGGTACCTTAAAAAGTACCGAATCCGGTACCCATCGCTTTATACACTTTTATAATTTATTTTCCATTTACCAACTCAAAATAAGCACTGACAAATAGATATGCTCATCAGTTATTGAATAATTGTTTTCTTCCATTTGCAGGATGAGCTGGGATGTAAAATGTCTCTGACAGGTCCTGCAAACGTCCCCGTGGTCTACAGAGTATTTCTCCTTCGCCTTTTTGGTTCCTCGTCCACCCAAACTTCTGCCTCTCCATCTCCTTCTGACAGAAAGCTCTCGGATTCGTTCGGACTCCAGTTCTCAGGTGACCGTGGTGAGAGGTTACGTCTGAGAAGCACTGAATCTGTGTCTGAGGTGTAATCGCTGTCATGTTGAATCATTTCTGTGGCTCTTTGTTTGTAGGGTGATCGATACAGGATGGGACCATCACATGTTTCAGGACTAACTGTGTCCAGGTACTGTGGCATAAGATAATCATAATCACACGACTCCAGCCGAGACCCCGGACCTGATGAAGAGTAAAGTCCGCGATGCCGTTCTGCCGTCAGCCATCCCAGATCCTGAAGTTCTTCTTGCACAGATTTCGCTTGCAGCCCCAGCCGAAACTGCAAAAGATTCACTTCCATCAGCTTTTCCCGCTCTTGTTTGATCAAAAGATCAACTTCCATCAGCTTTTCCCGCTCTTGTTTCATCAAAAAATCAACTTCCGTCAGCTTTTCCTGCACTTGTTTCATCAGGAGCTCGACCCTGTTCCCTCTCCTCTGTATGACCGCCAGTCTCTCTCTAATTAAAACACCCAAAAGAAAAAAAAAATGTTTTTGCATCATTTAGATACAATTCAGAACATTCAAATCAAAATACGACGTGCTGACAAAAATGTCTAAAATTAAATAAATCTTTTGTTGTAAAATATAAACAAATGTTTTCTAGAAAGAAATGTACCTGAAAACAGCGTAATCTGCTTGATCGAAGTGTGACATCTTGATTTGTTCGTATTCCTGTATGAAAAATCAGATTGTTTTAGTGCATTCAAGAGTCAAAAACACCTCAAATTTAACATTTTCTTGTAAAAACAGCAGCTTTGATTAGTAATAACTGTTTCCAGCCTGATTAAATCTCACAGCTTCTCTGTTAAGTTAAAACAAATAATTACACTTCATTTATTTTCCAGAACTTACCAAGTTCAGCAAGAGATTAAAACTCCTGGTGTGTCTCGTTTGCAGCTTAGCTGGTTGTGTTTGTCAGTTTTGTTTCAACCACAGAAAACCTTCAGAAAAACTTGTTTAGAACTCTGTTGCCGGGCAACAATCCAGTGGATTGCTAAGGATTCATAACAGCAACAGAACAATGGCTAACTGACACCAGAACAACAGAAATACCTTCTTTTTAAAAGTTTTCAGTAAAGCCTGTGAGATTATAAGTAGAATTTAACAGTAAATCATTACACATTCATGTTTTTGAAGGTAAACACACATTTGTGACTTCCTGTGGCTGCTGAAAAAGCATTTACCTAAGAGAGGACCACTAACAGGCCAAAAACAGAACTGCAGTTCCACCAGAACCAAGCTTCCTGTTAGCAATGTTTTATGTATTTTTATCTCTACATGCAACTAGAGGAGGCGCTATCAGCACACTACAGAAGGCAGCACTGTGTTTGTCAGTCTACCACACACACACACACACACACACACACACACACGTGCTCTTTCTCTTACCATAATAAACAAAAAAATGTACAGGATAAAGCAGGAACATCTCTGTGTGTGTGTGTGTGTGTGTGTGTGTGTGTGTGTGTGTGTGTGTGTGTGTGTGTCTGGCCATCATATAGTTTTATGTCGCCCTCTGCTGGTAGGATTTGGTAAAGAGACAAAGCCAGTAGTTTAAAGTCACTCCTCCTGCCTCAGTCATTACCCACAAGCTTCTTGCGCCACTATTTTTACATTTAAGTAGAAACGTGCACAGGCCACTCTAAACTGAAAGAGTGAAATCATTGTTTTTAAATATTTTAACAGAGCTTCACTAAAATCAAAGGCTGATTTATAGTTTTTTGCATTAATTCTGCATTTCTAATTGTCTATTGCTTTCGTCTATTTCTGGGGTTTAAAAAAAAACAACACTCAGCTAAAGCAGAACTTTGATTCATCACATTTAAATATAGGAAGATGCATAATAAGGGACTTACATAATGACACACTTATCGTTGTTTCCCTAGTTTATTCCTAACCCATGTTGGAAACCATAGAGAACTGATGCAGATGACCTAATAAGGACAGAGATGAACGCTGTCACAGCATTCCCAGTGGTAGACGCTCATGTGATTGTTTTTGTACATGTGAAAAAAACACTTCCTGTTAACATGAAAATTGTTCGCATACCTCCTTTCTGCTCTTCATTTAATGAGGAAGCCTGTAAATAAAAACCTCTGATCCTGATTGGCTGTTAGGTGAGGGTGTAGATCCTCTTTTATTTATAAATGTTCTCGTGCCTCGCATGAAATCTAGGCTTGCTTTTTAATGCAAATTTAATTAAACATTTAGTTCTTTTCGGTGTTTGACAAATAAAAAGAATACATCTGTAATCATGTGAGCAACGTGATTGCAATTTGATTTTGCTTGTTTTCATGTGAATTATTTTAGGAAAGTCCTTATGTCTTCTGCTTTTTCCCCTCCAAGCTCGCTGCACGCAACAAGATTCAAACCTTTAAATCGCTTCAACAGCATGCACTAAGAAAATGAGTGTCTGGGAGGAATTTGTGATACTTAGCTTTAATAACAGAGTTTAAATTTCAAGTATACCAGCATTCTAGTTTTTAGTAAAATGCACATGTTCTTACACAATATTAGTGCATTTAATGGGATGCCCCAGGTATCCATCCTTGGGATACTGCTGTTCATTACATAAACACTTAATTTCATAATGTCTCCAAAACAGCTTTTCACATACAATATGGTGATACTGCTCACCTTCCTTGTAAGATTGGAAAAGCTGTTAGCTAGAATGCTCTTTTAATCATGCATAATCTAGCCTGTATGTTTTCAAAGAGCACTGGATCAACAACAGTGATTCTCACACCTATTTTGCTCTACTCACTTTGGCTAAATTGCCTTTTTTTTATCAGTTGGTAGTCTGAATTGCTGAAATAAATGTATTCATAGTACAGTTCTTGGTCTGCATTAGTCACGTTTGCAGAAACACTCATGAAGGTATGAAATTTGGTTTTGTAATGTATTTCCACTGTTTTCGACCGGAAAAGGGTGGCTTGCCAACTCCGGGTCGGGAGAGAGGTCCTACCTCAAGTGGAGGAGTTTAAGTATCTCGGGGTCTTGTTCACGAGTGAGGGTAGGAGGGATCGGGAGATCGACAGGCGGATTGGTTTGGCGTCTGCAGTGATGCGGACGCTGAGCCGATCTGTCGTGGTGAAGAGTTCTGTCATGTTCTGCGTCCCCCTCATGTGTCTCCTTGTGTTCTCCAGCCCACTCCAGGTTTTCCCATAAGGTGTTCTCCTTAGGTTTCTGTGCCCCTTTAGGTCTCCAGCTCCCTCCAGGTTTCCCTCAGGTTCCCCCTTAGTGATTTCAGATTTAGTTATCCCATCCCTGTTAGTGTTTTATTTCTGGTGTCTAGTTTTCTGGTTTAGAAGCTCACTTATCTTTAGTTCTCTGTAGATTAATTTTACCTACTTAGTTTTCCCCACTTAGTTAATTAGTCTCACCTGATCCCTTCTGATCTCACTCCCCACACACCTGTCACCTGTTTCCCTGATTGTTTCCCTCTGTGTATATAACCCTGTCTGCGTCTCAATGTGTTGTTGGTCCATTGTTTTTGTGTCAGCGTTGTCCCGGTTCCCTTTCTTGGTCTCTTGGTCTCTATGGTATTTGTTTGCGCATTAGGATTTTTGGTTTTTGGCTACCTGCCCCTTTGGATTTCACTTTTGGACTTTTATTCCCAATAAAGGACTTTATGTTTTCTACAACTCCTGCCTTGTGTCATCCTGGTTCTGCATCTCGGGTCCGAACCTCCTCCTGGCTTACATCGTGACACTCGCCTCTGATGAATTAACAGCAACTTGACTCCACCACTGACTTATTTTCCTTTGCAACACTGATGTTTTATCTCCACAAATAACACAAGCCTGGAGGAGTTCTGCTGTGTGGTGGAGTTGCTAACGTTGACGATTAGCTTCTCCTAGCCGAAAAAATTCTCTGCTGTTTCCTGGATGCTAAACAAACAACAGCCTTCCTCGTCGTGAGCCAAGATGGGTGAACAATAAAGTCCCATTAGGCTTCACACACGGGTGTAATTCATCTCCGGATTTGACCAACACGTTCTCACACCCAAAGCGTCGAAAAATGACGATGGGTGACCAGGCATTTGTTTCCATTGTTTGTTTGCATTGGGAACCCCAGTGCGTTGGGAGGCAATGCACTATGCAAGAGTGTAATTTTCCAATTTCACTGAATTGTGACCTTTACCCTCTTGCCCACACCCCCATCCTAACCTTACTTTTCTCGTTGTAACGTCCCTCTCCAACACGGTTAACGGGAAGTTTAGAATGAGAAACTGGCTTAAGGTTAGGGTGTGGGTGAGGGGAAGGCTAAACAGCAAACGGTTAGAGGTTAAATGTGCGTTTTACCGCTGCAGTTGGAAACCAGCGCTCTGGCACAGCGCATCGCCTCCCAACGTGTTCGGACTCCCAATGCATCGGAAACAAACGCTTGGTCCCCATCATCATTTTTCGACGGTTCGGATGTGAGAATGTGTTGATTTGACCCGTCTCCGTGGGGAGCGATGAGCTGCAGCAGTGGCTGCACTCGGGACCTATATGATGGTTGTTGTTAATTGACAGTGTGACATAGCTCTGTCAAGCTTTTCTGAACTGAGCAGTTTTCCATCTATTTTCTATCAGAAACTATTCCAGGAAATAGGGGTAGGAGACTATTTTCATGTTCAGCCTGCATGTGTCTTGTCCTCGAGCCGAGGTGAGTGCTCCTCTTCCATCTAACCATCTCCGAGCTAATTTCCCATATGAGGGGCAGAGGGGGCTGCAGCTGCACAGAATTTCCAATCAGGAAGTCGGGTATAGAAGGAGGATGGAGACACCACACTACGCCGGATGATTGCTCCAGTTTAGGTAGCCCCAGCCACTTGTATCTGTTTGCTCGTTTGTTCGCTTGACTCGTTTTGGATTATTGGATTTTGAACTTGGACTGTCTTGGATCACGCTTTTTGGTTTACTCTCAAGACTCGTGTTTGTTTGCTTCTCCCAGGACAACTCCACACCCTTCTTCTTCGTTGCTGCTAGAACTCCGGATCACCTGAACCACGTCCCATCCTCCTCCGTTGTTCCTGTCTGGACCCTCTCCGCTGCCTCACCCACCCCGGTTTAACAATCCCTTCCCGGCGCTCACCTTGGCCTCCACCTTCCTCGTTCACCACAGAACGCTATACGGGCAAGAGCTATACAGTGTTGTGGTTATTAGCCAACAAATAATTTGTAAGTTTTACTTACTCTTTATATTCATCAATAAAATTCGTAAATATGGAAATATTTAACGATTTATTACGTAATCAGGATATCCGTGGATATCCTCGGGGCACCACCCCTTTAATAATGGAAAAATGAATCCAAACCTCTATCAATCTGTCTAAAGTTCGTAAAATTCTTTCACCGAGCAGCGGTCCTATTCTATCCACACAGACAAATTCTCTTGAGACAAAACTTAATTGGCAATAACATTTATTGACTAATATGATCACCTTAGCTCCTTCAAAGTATTAGCCAATCAATATCAACCAACTGCTTTTTTTAAAAACAGACAACAAGCAATGAAACCATGGAATGATAATGTGGAGTAACAACCTAATCAGACCGGTGGGGTGAGATGGTAATGTGATCCAGCAAAGATAGCTGATTATCAAACTGGAGGGAATGTTGAAAACAAAATGGCGGATCCTTTCTTTGGCTGACCAAAGGAACTGTGTGTGTGTGTGTGTGTGTGTGTGTGTGTGTGTGTGTGTGTGTGTGTGTGTGTGTGTGTGTGTGTGTGTGTGTGTGTGTGTGTGTGTGTGTGTGTGTGTGTGTGTGTGTGTGTGTGTGTGTGTGTGTGTGTGTGTGTGTGTGTGTGTGTGTGTGTGTGTGTGTGTGTGTGTGTGTGTGTGTGTTCAGCTTGTCTTCCCAAACACGCACAATCAGTGGGTGTGAGCAAACGTTCACAGTAAACTTAGTCAAAACACTTCAAAATCGCTTCACAAAGATCAAAGAAAAAAAACAACAGATCAGTCATAAAGGTAAATCACATCTCTAAACAGTCTGTCAGCCTGGCCACAGCATAAACAAACTTAGATATTAAACAATGAAAGAAACGGCGTACTCTGAGATGATCCGTTGGCATTTTTTTTAGTACGGAGGGGAGAAGCCGTTTGTTATTTTAAAGCGGTCACGTGGTCGACCGCTTTTTCGGACTATTAGAGAAGCAGGAGAGAAAGAGAGAGAGAAAAAGGAAAAAAAAATCTTGAATGAGCGAACACAAGGTGTCCCTCTGTGTTCGGGCTGAGCGGATCAGATGGCGCTGGTCCGTTGATCAGCAGCTAGGCCTCGTGCACATGCTGTCCGGAGCGGCATGAAGCAGAGGCGAAGGTCTCCTTACTCCAGATGACTGGACGGGAAGAGCGATTTCTGCTCTGCGCCTCGGCTTTATAGAATCAACCCGCGGGCGATCTCTGTTGCGGCTGGTCAGACTTGGCGTCACTTGATGACATCATCAAGCTGCTGCCAGCTGTAGAGGATCATGGGACATGGAGTCCCTGCTGGCGCTGATATTGTCTACGCTTCAGGGCGTAGATGCACAGTCCTTTGGAGAAAATACTGCATAGTAATTTTCTCATGAGGGCAGGACCCCAACAACAGCTCATTCCCCACTGGACTTCCCAGTGCTACTTTTGTTCCTGTTTCTAAATAAATAACTTTTCTTT